CAGCCTCCCGAGTAGCTAGGATTATAGGCATGTGCCACCACATCCAGCTAATTTTTGTAGTTTTTAGTAGAGATGGGGTTTCACCATGTTGGCCAGGCTGGTCTCGAGCCCCTAACCTCGTGATCTGCCTGCCTTGGCCTCCCAAAGTGGTGGAGTTACAGGCATGAACCACTGTGCCCAGCATATATTTTTATTATTTATTTATTTATTTATTTATTTTTGGTATGGAGTCTCACTCTGTCACCCAGGCTGGAGTGCAATGGTGCAATATCGGCTCACTGCAACCTCTGCCTCCTAGTTCAGACGATTCTTGTGCCTCAGCCTCCCAAGGAGCTGGAATTACAGGCACCTACCACCATGCCCAGCTAATTTTTGTATTTTTAGTAGAGATGGGGTTTCACCATTTTGGCCAGGCTGGTCTCGAACTCCTGACATCAAGTGATCCACCAGCCTCAGCCTCCCAAAGTGCTGGGATTACAGGCATGAGCCACCATGTCCAGCCTATACTTGTTTTATCTATGCATTATACTTTTCTGGGGGGAAGCTATTCCCTCATTACCATTTAATTAACTTTTGGACACACACAAAACAAAAACAAAAACAAAAACAAAAACTTTTGGACATAAGATTTTATGTCAACTCATAGGAGGTTCTGATTCATAGTAACCAGTACTGTGCCTTGACCATGGTAGGTACTCAAACATGGTCTGAAGGAAGGCACACCATTTAAAAAAGACAGTTCTATACGGGGCTGGAGATAGCCACAATAACAGGCATTATTCACCATACATGATGTGGTGATCAGGGAAGGATTCATGAAAGAGATGGTATTTGTGAGGATTCTTGAAATAAGGGTAGGAATTAGAAATTGAGATGGGAGGTTGGGTGTGGTGGCTTATGCCTGTAATCTCAGCACTTTTGTAGGCAAAGGTGGGTGGATCACTTGAGGTCAGGAGTTTGAGACCAACCTGACCAACATGGTGAAACCCCGTCTCTACTAAAAACACAAAAATTACCAGGTGTGGTGACGTATGCCTGTAATCTCAGCTACCTGTCAGGTTGAGGCAGGAGAACTGCTTGAACTGGAAAGTGGAAACTGCAGTGTGCCGAGATCGCACCATTGCACTCCAGCCTAGGAAACAGAGCAAGACTCTGTCTCGAAAAAGAAAAAAAAGAAATTGCGATGAGAGCATACATATTTCAGTTTGGTTAAAATACAGGGTTCAGAAGGAAAGCAGAAAAAGGCAAAGTTGGAAAAATATTGAAGCCAGACTGGGAAGGTCTTAAGTCACTGGCAAAAGTATCTGGACTCCTTCTGTAACAAAAGAGGTGTGACTGAAAAGTGCTACAGATCCCACTGATAAATAAACAGGGGAAGAAAAGACCAGAATGATAGACAGATGGAACAGAATTAAAAACTAAAAAATTAAATTGGCCTTTATTTCCAAATTCCTTTTTCTTACCATTCTTTTCCATTTTTGTTTTTCAAGGGTTAAGTGGATGACCATATTACCTGAGCAGTAACATAAAGAATGGAACCCCACATAAGCACACTTTAGTTTGGTAATATGGTTTTAAAATTTATAGCAAAATCAATGTCATATTTCAAGATACACATATTGTGATTGTGCTATAAATCATAAGAAGCAGGAAGCAGGAAAGTCCTCTGATACTCCTTTCAAGGTGTTTGCTATCCTACATCTCTGGCCAACATGTTCTAGAACCTTAAATATCTCCTTCCCCATCTTCTTTTCAAGATTACTCTTTTTCAGCCCTTATCTCTGCTAGACTCACTAGGTGTCTTGCTCTATTAGCTTGCTGTCTTGAACCTTCAGGTTCAATCTATTCATAGATCCAAAAAGTAGAGTCACTCTGATGAGAGGGGCCACTGTGCACAATGTCTGCCTTTTTCACTGGAACCCTTGCACATGGACAAAGCTGTCTTCTAATACGCCCAGGACACCTGAGCTACAAAACTCCTCTTACTAGAGAAGGAAAAGAAAACCCCATAGATCTAGAAGCTCTGCAATACCTCCTCCTGCTCTTGCCAATTTGTCTTCCCATTCTTTGGAACTGAGGAATCAGTTAATCAGGCCATAAATACAGTTCCTTGTGCAATCTTGCAGGACCAGATCTATACACAGAATAGTCTTGAGTTGAGTCATTTAATAAAAGGTAGTTATTGACCAAAAATATCTCCCTAATATAACCTGAAATCCACAAATTTGGAATTCATTTGAGTTAAAAAACAAATATGATCCTGGACAAGATGGGTGAAAGGGGACCTCAATATCAGGTTCTGCATTAGAAAAACAATCTGATTAATCTGTTCCAAAGGTAATAGGAGTTTGAGAGGAAACAATGAGAAAGAAAGACAAAGGGTAGAAAATCTGCAGGGTCATTTTGGAACATGGTATATTTCCAAGAAGAAATCCAGGGAGGTTCAGAAAGAACAAACGAGGGCACTGGGATCCTGAAAAGTAGGAAATAAAGGCTACCCAAGCCAAAAGCTGGGAGCAAGGAAGAGCCATAGCTCAAAAACGTTTGGTGAATGAGCTCCAAAGGTTGACTTTGCCTTGAGCTACTGCCAAGGTCCTCATTTACTTCCGAAAGCTCAACACAGTTCTTACTTTTTTTCCCTTCATGGGAGCATGCACAATAAGGTGGAATGTACCATAACCTTGGTAGGGACGTATGGATAAATGAGTCCGGGCAGATGTGGAACTAAAACCAAGAAAGAGAAGGTTTTAAAATAGAGCCAAAAGAGTGGAACCCAAAACAGGATCCAGTTCATTAAAAATTACAGGTGTTTGGGGACTTTTAAGTTTCCTATCCTCCGTTTTACTCAAACTGTTTATACTGGAAATTCTGAGTATCCCTGGGTCAAAGAAATGTGTGATTGGCAGTCCCCATTCAGAATTCACCAAGCTACAATAAAACTGCTCCACTTGAGCCCGGAAAAATGAAAACTGTAATAAGGCAGAATTTGCCAAAACACAAACAGTGAAAGTTAGTTTCCCGAAAACATAATTCTACTAATTATTTTCAAATGTCCTTCAATCCAAGAGTAATACACGTATTTCGAGTGAAAACACTCAAGAGTAATGGCACTGCCACCACACCACCTCCATCTGATCCTATTGCTGCTCACTCCCTGCTCAACAGACATCCTGTCCAGCTGAAGGCTTGTCCCCCAGGGCATATTACTCTCCTTCCCTACAGAGCCAGTGACATTCTTCCAAGGTCTATAAACTCTGTGTCCTCTAATCTAGCTCTAGCCTCTTAATCTACATGGACATAACTACCTCAATGTGTACCACCATCCGCCTCTTTATGTAGAAAAATATATTTCTAATCCTCTCCTACAGTGTGTGACCTTAAACCTTCCCAGCTCATTCCTACATTTTTCCAACTGACATGCCAGTAGCGGAGGCTCTCTAGTGGTTGAGAATTTACCTCTCAGATATCTGACCCTATCAAACTGGGTATAGATTTTGTGTGTGCATGTGTGTGTATGGACGCGGGGCTTGTTTCTTCCTTGGGTACAGACTTTCTAAACTCATACTACTCCAAAATTTGGCAACAGACCCCCCAAACTTGAACATTACAGTGGCCCTTTTATACTGGCTAAAATCTTTGCCTCTTTTTCTGCATCATTTGCTTACTCTTAAATGAATACTCTCAATATTCCCATTCTTTAGTAGTTCTCTCTTCTGCTCTAAATGCTGCAGTCTCACTCTTATAGATGGCCACGTCCAACATCATTTTTTGGCAACCAGCTGTAAATCCTGTTCAGGATGTCATCATCCTCCTCAACAGATACTGCCATGTAGCTGAGTTTTAATCTTGCTTTATTGAAACCTATGTAGGACTGATAACATTAGCCAGTTAAATTTGTGTACGTATCTGACCTCTACCAGGTGCTTTCACATTCATTTGCCTCTCAACAACCCAGAGAAGAATGACTACTCTTCCCATTTTCCAGGTGAGGAAATCACAGTTCAGCAAGGATTAGATGACTTATTCAAAGCCAAGCAGATATTTAAATGCAAGAGTCAACACTCAAACTTCTATATTCAATCCAACTATTTCCCCATGCACATTTCTGAAAATAACTGCTGCTAAGTAGGCCCCACACCTCTGGTGCTAGTCAAACAGAAGCCACTGCAGGCCCTGTGGTATATGTAGCTTTGGTCTCTTGCCCACTCTGTGTCGTATTTTTGCTCTATTTGCCACACCTAGCACCAAGCCTGGACACGCAAGCTCACCTCTACCCAACCGCTGCCAACTTCCCACAGATCCCTACTTCTGTCACATAAACAAAGTTCTTTTATTCTGCTCTGAACATGATCTTGCCCCTTCTCCACTGATATCTCTTCTGCTGGAGAAAGGACACAATCTTCCTCCCTTATCCAGGGACTTACTCACTATACTCTGGCTCAGAAGCCACAAACTCTTCACCAGAAACTCTGTATTATAGTTTTAGCTCCATGTTCTCTGCCCTTTCCCTCTCCTGCTCTGTTGAAACTATCCGTTTTAGAGTGTAAGTGCCTGACCCAGACGCTTTATTTAACTAGCCGTGGGTACTACTCAACACAATGCCTTGCATTCAGAGGCATAAAAACATCAACAATTATGACCTTTTTCAAAAATAAATTCCTGTCCTTGATCTGACATAATGACGGAAAACAGCTGCCAAACCGCTAAGAGCATTATTTACTTCAATTCAGAATTTCTGAATAGGAATTAGCTTAAAAGAGCTGTAAAGTAAAAGACAAGGGGATATTTGTTTACACATAGTCCCAAAGGTATAAAATGAAACACTGAGTAATTTGTTATTAGCTTTCCATCACCAACAAAGTCCAACTCTATTGCATAGCGAGGTCAAGCTGGTTAAGAGGATCCTAGTCAACAGCATTTCCGTTATCAGAAGGAGGTGGTCAGCTATTCCATTCGCATATGTGCTCTGGAAAAGCAACAGCTGGCCGTGTATTACTTACTGGCTTATCCTTGATAGTGGGGCTTGACACACACAGGTACAGTTTCCCGTCTTCTTCTAGGCAGGCATCTATCAAAGCTTGTACTGAGCTTTCCTCCTGGAACAGCAGAAAGGCATAGCCTTCGGGAGAGCAAAAACAAAAGGGTGGAAGAAGAATCAGTACATTAAATTCCAAGTACCGATTACAAATTACCTGTTGTTTCATTTTGGCAAATTCTTACTAAAATCTAAGACTTCAATTGGGACAAAGGGACTTTGTCCAGAAACTACATTAGGTGCTCATTGATATTACCTTGTTTAATTTTTACTATTAAAGGAGCAAGTTTAGAACCCATCTATGGAATTTCCACTAAATACATCTGGTTATTCTTTTTTTTTTTTTTTTTGAGACAGAGTCTTGCTTTTTCACCAGGCTGGAGTACAGTGGCACAATCTCACTGCAACCTCCGTCTCCTGGATTCAAGCAACTCCCCTGCCTCACCCTCCTGAGTAGCTGGGGCTACAGGCACCACCACACCTGGCTTTTTTTTTTTTTTTTGTATTTTAGTAGAGACAGGGTTTCACCATCGCCAGGATGGTCTTGATCTCCTGACCTCATAACCTGCCCGCCTCAACCTCCCAAAGTGCTGGTATTACAGGCGTGAGCCACTGTGCCTGACCATCTGGTTATTCCTAATGAGGGCAGTGGACTCACCATTGGCCTTAGCCACAACTAACAAGTAGCCAAGAAATAAGCACCACTTGCTTTCCAATTTCTACCAAGCTCTAAGTTGGCTACACGTTACAGAGATAAACCTTGAAAATATTATGCCAAGGGAAAGAAGCCAGACAAAATATGTCCAGAACAAGCAAATCTATCAAGACAAAAAAAACGTAGATTGGTGGCTGCCTAGGACAGGGAGGCTGGAAGGAATAGACACTGAATTTCTTTTTGGGATGAGAAATTTTCCAAAATTGATTGTGGTGATAATTGCACAACTCTGTAAACATGCTGAAAACCACTGACTTGTACATGTCAAATTGGTGAATTGTATAGTACGTGAATGATATTTCAACAAAGCTGTTTTTTAAAAGGCCAACAATAAGCTGGTGTGCTTTTGCATGCTGTCACTGATGACAGTGCTCTGCGTCTCTAAGGGGTACCCTCTTGGCAGAATACCGCAGGTCTAGAACAACAGACGCTAGCTGCAGGATTTCCACAGACATAGCCAGTTTTGTTCAGTTTAATTCCATAAGATTTATTGAGTAACTGATACAAGTCAGACATATCTATGATTTATGAGAATACTAAAACGAGCAAGACCAGGTTCCCTTTTTTTTGAGATGGAGTCTTACTCTGTCACCTGGTTTCAGTGCAAGTGACACAATCTCTGTGGTACAATCTAGGCTACTGCAACCTTTGTCTCCTGGGTTCAAGTGATTTAGCCTCCTAAGTAGCTGGGATTACAGGCGCCCGCCACCACAGCCAGCTAATTTTTGTATTTTTAGTAGAGACGGGGTTTCACCATGTTGGTCAGACTGGTCTCAAACTCCTGACCTCAAGTGATCGCCTGCCTCAGCCTCCCAAAGTGCTGGGATTACAAGAATGAGTTACTATGCCTGACCCTAGGTTCCTCTTGTAAAGAAACTTAAGAAGTAGATGAAACGAACATTTAGACAATTAACTACTCACTACAAAGTTGAGAGAGAAAAGTGGGGACAAAATGTGCCACTGGAATCCTACGGAGCAAGGGCCCAACTTGGGAGTATCAGCAAAGACTTTAAAGAAAACAACAGAGATTCAAGGGGCCACCTGTGGCACTTGCGGCCACACTGACATTCATAAATGGAGACTGGGCAAAGGCCCATCATGAATTAGTCTAAGCCTTCAACTTCTCTGCAACCCTGCTTGCTTTACTAAATCTCTCAGCTGTCATTTCTCAACTCTCAACTTTGCTACTAACCTCAAAGGAAACCATCATCAATACTATTCTTCTCTGGCACATTGCATATCAGAAGAATGTAAATGGTGGAGAAGGATAAGAATCCCTACATACAGTCCAGGCTGGGTGGCTCACACCTATAATCCCAGCACTTTGGGAGGCTAGGGAGGGTGGATCACTTGAGGTCAGGAGTTCAAGACGAGCCTGGCCAACATGGTGAAACCCCTGTCTCTACTAAAAATACAAAAATTAGCCAGGCGTGGTGGCGGGTGCCTGTAATCCACGCTACTCAGGAGGCTAAGGCAGGAGAATCACTTAAACCTATGAGGTAGAGGTTTCAGTGTGCTGACATTGCGCCACTGCACTCCAGTCTGGGCAACAGAGTGAGAGTTCATCTCAAAAAAAGAATCCCACACACAAAAGATTCTCACACATCAGAAGTGTTTAATTCATAATCAACTGGCTAAAAATAAAGCTCTCTGAACATGTAATGATGGTGGCAATGGAAAATGGCTATTCTTATTTGGTCTTTTCTCCAACTCCCCATTTACTATACACATCATCTAAGCAAATACAGCAGCAAAAAAAGACCAGCCACTCCCCAGCATAGCAGGCAGAAACTAAACACAGGAGAAGACACCAAACTGAATGGGCAACCATGTAGCTGCAAGAGAGAGACTGCCAAGGTTTTAGGACCCAGAACTGTTTTCTGGGCTTTGGTCTCAGGCTGTATAGGCCAGAGGATTCTGTTGGTGGCTAGTAAGGAAAAATAAAACCTGACTGCAAAATTAGAAAAGATAATATATCATATCTTCATATCCTCTTTTGCAAACAGTATTGAACTATCACCAGGTATCAGGGCATCTTAAAAATTCAGTGTTTTCACTTAATATGAAAACATTAATTCTACTTGCTAAGGATGATATTAGAGATAAGTGAGTTAAAAAGTGCAAATATCACAAAGAGAAGGTCTTAGCAGGTTCTATCAAACCTCTTGTCCTACCAGGTAAAATACTGTTATAAATATTAAACAAAGATCATAAGCATATTGAGCATCTTGCAGTCAGAGTACTCCATCTATGTATATACTGTACCAGGCACACATCAAGAAGGCCTGGTGATAGGGCATGCCCAGTGAGTTGGGCTTTCTCTTATTCTTTGCCTCTGGAAGGCCTCCAGGCTGACTCCATCACACTACTATCCACCCTCTGCAATCTTCCACATCAAATCCAATTTTGAGTTAACTGTGGGCATCCAAAGAAAGGGTGGTTGTCTTCCTACAGCAACTGAGTTGCTACCACAAAAGCATGCAGATTTTCACTTAGGCCTATCTCACAGCCATAAATATCTACATTGGGAAAAGAGAGAGTAAAAACAACTGGGAGCCACAAGTAAAAACCTGCTACAAATACTATTACCAAGGGAAATATCTACAAACAACTTCTTTCCCAGGAAATGGCTCAAAACAGTTTACCAATTCTTCAGGACGACTCTTTTACTATAAATAATCTTGTGTCAAAATAATTACCTTTATTCTGAGGTAACCAGTCATGTAATGTAATGGCAGTATTTTCTCAGCAATGTAGATAAGAGATAGGGCTGAACTTCCCCCAACCCCCAAAATCTGGGCTGCAGTTCAACAATTTATTTCAACTCGTCCCACTTTAGGCCTTCCAACCAAAACAGAGTTCACCAGAAACACCCAAATCACTCTTGAAAACAACTTTATATCTTGACCTGCTAAAACACCTTCTGATACTTCAAGGTCAAGCAAACCCAGATGACAACAGAAGTCAGAGGATTTTTTTTTTTTTTTAAACAGAGTCCCAGGATGGAGTGAAATGCAGTGGTGTGATCTCCACTCACTGCAACCTCCGCCTCCTAGGTTCAAGCGATTCTCCTCCCTTAGCCTCCTGAGTAGCTGGGATTACAGGCACTCACCACAACACCCAACTAATTTTTGTATTTCAGTAGACACGGGATTTCACCATTTGGCCAGGCTGGTCTAAAACTCCTGACCTCAGGTGATCCTCCTGCCTTAGCCTCCCAAAGTGCTGGAATTACAGGCGTAAGCCACCATGCCTGGCCCGAAATCAGAGAATTTTTAAAAATAAGGAAGACTCGGCTGGGCACAGTGGCTCATGCCTTTTAATCCCAGCACTTTGGGAGGCTGAAGCAGCTGGATCACCTGAGGTCGGGAGTTCAAGACCAGCCAGCTTGAACAACATGGAGAAACCCCGTCTCTACTAAAAAATACAAAATTAGCCGGGCATAGCAGCACATGCCTGTAATCCCAGCTACTCAGGAGGCTGAGGCAGGAAAATTGCTTGAACCCAGGAGATGGAGGTTGCAGTGAGCCAAGATCACACCATTGCACTCGAGCCTGGACAACAAGAGTGAAACTTCTTCTCAAAAAAAAAAAAAAAAAAAAAAAAAAAAATCAGGAAGAATCTTTCAAACACATTTCCCTTTTGATCTTGAGAAATTTAAAGTTAAAGTAAACAAAGTAGAAAAAGATCCCTTCAAGAATAACAAGGTCAATGTGAGGTGGAAATTCAATCAATGATTTACTGAAAGATAAATTGCAAATGGTACTATGAAAAGTGTTCTGGACTAGGAGACAGAAGGTCTAGATTTGGGTACAAGTCCTAACATTTACTAACTGTGTGGTAATAACAGCTAATAGCTATCATTTGTTGAGATTTACTATGAACCAAACACTGTTTGTTTCATCTTCACACATACCCTGTGTGGTAGGCCCTATTTTTTGTTTTGTTTTGTTTTGAGATGGAGTCTTGCTCTGTTGCCAGGCTAGGCCAGAGTGCAGCAGCACAATCTTGGCTCACTGCAACCTCCGCCTCCCGGGTTCAAGTCTTTCTCCTGCCTCAGCCTCCTGAGTAGCTGAGACTACAAGTGTGTGCCACCACACCCAGCTAATTTTTGTATTTGTAGTAGAGACGGGATTTCACCATGTTGGCCAGGATGGTCTCAAGCTCCTGAACTTGTGATCCGCCTGCCTCGGCCTCCCAAAGTGCTGGGATTACAGGCATTAGGCATTGTGCCTGGCTGGTAGGCCCTATTTTAATTCTGCTTTATATTAAAGGAAATTACAGAGTAATTAAGTGACTCGTTTAAGATCACCCAGTAAGTGGTAGAACCATGAACTTGAATATTAACATTTCTGAATCTTGGCTGTCTTCTCTGTCAAATGAAGAAACCAAGTATTTGTCCCAATTACCTTACAGAGATGTAGCTTATAAGATAATGTATATAAAGGTGTTTTGTACACTAGAGAGTCATGTAAGTCTTGATTTTTCTTTTACTGCATTTTCAATTATTTCCGTAACAGGTAAAATTAAAGTTGAGTTTTTGCATATGGTCTCATTATAAAAATTAGAATTCAAATTAATGATACGCACTTTCCATTTTGCATTTGCAAGCATTTAGTGAATAAAGAGAAGTAACCTAGATACTGAAGAAAAGCCTTAATTAAAGTTACTTGAATGACAGGCTGAATATTACTGCAAACAAACAAAGTGTCTGAATATCTGCTTTCCTATATGATTAGCCATTTCCACCACAAGAGTGTCAGATGTAATATTTTCTGATTTTAGTACGTTTTAAAAATAAAAGCCAATTATGCCTATAAACAGAGCTTCTCTATCTATTAGTCTGAAAGGTATTTAAAAAAAAAAAACACGCACACACTTGGCCAAAAAATTATCAGCTTCCTCTGTTCTCTTGCCTTCTGACCCAGTAACAGATAATATGATTATAAAACTCTTCTGTTGTTCTCTAGTGGATTCCAAAGGAATAAAAAGAAAAGGGGGGGGGAAAAAAGGAAGAAAAAAAAAAACTCTCCCAGTTTCAGAAATGGTAACCTGAGGAGTATGTGGGGGCTTCAGTGATGTGGCGAGCTATGGGAGGTCCTCAGCTCACAGCCAGTCTATGAGAGCAGACAGGGCTCTGGAGGGAACAGGAGGAGCTCCTGGTCACTGTCACCATCACAACCTCCAGTTATAGGTAGAATGGATAGCTGAAAATTCCTTACTTTCCCACTGATGCCAAACAGGTTGGAGAAGAAGGATAGAACACTGAGGGATTTTTTTTTTCTTTCGACAATTCTAAATTGACTAATGCAATTTTCTGGGAGAAAAAGGAACACCAAGGTTGGGGGACGAACTTAATTAGACAATTCCATTTCATTTGGCCAGGTGTGTGAAGTCTAAATTTAATTTAAAGATTTTTATTTTATTTTATTTTATTTATTGAGACAGAGTCTTACTCTGTTGCTCAGGCTAGAGTGGTGCAATCTCATTCACTGTAACCTCTGCCCTCCAGGTTCAAGCAATTTTCCTGTCTCAGCTTCCCCAGTAGCTGGGACTACAGGCACGTGCCACCATACCCAGATAATTTTTTGTATTTTTAGGTAGAAATGGGGTTTCACCGGGTCAGCCAGGCTGGTCTTGATCTTCTGACCTCGTGATCTGCCCGCCTCGGCCTCACAAAGTGCTGGGATTACAGTGTGAGTCACTGCACCTGTCCAAGATTTTTTTTTTAATACCTGAGAACACATTAAGTATAACCTCCAAAATGTTCTCAGCTATCTTTCAAAAACAAAGCTTCCTGATCTCTTAAATACATAATTTTTCACGTTATAATTTTTTAATACTTGATTCCTAGTATAAATAACAATCATCAACAACTGTACTACCACAACTATCATGTACTAAATGCTCACAATATTCTAGGCACTTAGCTAATAAATATTTTACATGTTAGCTCATTTCATCCTCACAGTAACTCTATGAAGTGAATACAACTGTTACTATTACCATTTTACAGATGAGGAAAATGAAGCTCCAAGAGGTTAAGGGAATTCTCAGATTGAAACCTAGATATGAAATCTGTAATTAAAACCTAGATCAGTTTCCAGAGCCCATTAATTTATACCATCTCATCTAAAAGTGGTAAGATAAATTTTTCAGTATCACCAATAAAGAACTTGCCTTTAAAATGTCCTTGTGACAGTGACCATTTAAATAGTGTTTTAATAGCAGTAAGTAGTCACTGTGTGCTTTAGTCTTATAATTTAAGGCCTATGCAGACATAATTGCTCTAAAGCACACAAAAACAATATTAAGGGTTATTCTCTAAAACAATGGGCATGGACTCTTCTAATGATATAAAAGACAAAAAGCCTAGGGAACTGTCTGAAGTAAAGAAGATTAAAGATATATAACAATGAAATGCAGAACCCAAGATGGCTGCACTCTTGCTGAGATATGTTGGTCATTATTGCCTCCGAGCCCACTTTTGCCCAAAGCTCTGTGTCAGAAATGCTATTCCTCTGGGAACCACGGCCAAAGAAAAGATGGAGCAGTTCTGAAATAAGAACATAGGCTCAAACAATCCCGTTTGAACACATCACTGTCTAAACTTGGTCTCTTCCCATGGTCATGTCCATCTGTCACCATGGCACTGGCATTGCTTTGAGTGCAGGGGTCTCTCTTTTTGGCATATCGGCGCTGTTACTCCCTGGGAACTTTGAGTCTTATACGCAACTCGTGAAGTCCCTGTGTCTGGGGCCAGCATTGATCCATGCAGCTAAGTTTGCACTTGTCTTCCCTCTCATGTATCATGCCTGGAATGGGATCTGCCACTTGATGTGGGAACTAGGAAAAGGCATGAAGATTTCCCAGCTATACCAGTCTAGAGTGGTTGTCCTGGTTCTTACTGTGTTGTTCTCTGTAGGGTCGGCAGCCATGTGAAGAACAGAGGTTCCCAGGATCATCTTCCTGTACATTATTACATTCATCTATCTTTCTGTTTGTCACTTTTACCTCCAGCCTGGGAAAAGTTCTCCTTATTTGCTTAGATTGTTTTGCACTTTCAGATCCCCTTGGAGCAGTAGAGTACCTTGTAGACCATAATAGTGGAAAAGGGTGTAGTTTTCCCCTTGTTTTTAAAGATGGGGTGGCTGCAAAAACTTCCATTTTTTTGCCCACAACTTACCTACTCTGGGCCTGGAAGCAGTTATTCCCTTACCATATTGGGCTTTGATTTGTGCTGAGGGTCAGCTTTTGGCTCCTTCTTCCTGAGACAGTGGAAACAATGCCAACTCTGTGGCTTCTGCCCTGGGGACTGGGGGTGAAGCTTTTAGTGCCACTGCCTGTGTGTTGCTGGCTTAAACAACAATTTTGTTCACTGGTGAGAGCCCAGGCCATTAACACCTATGTAGTGTTATTGAAAGAAGAGAGGTGAGTGTGGAAAGGAATTAGTCTATGCCAGCTAGAGGGAGATAAAGAGGACTAGTTAGTTCTCGGAGCAGCTGCTTTGAGGAAAAACTATATAGCTTTTGACACAAGAGGAAGATACAGCAAATTATCACTGAACCTATTAAAGGTTATTTCTTTCTCTTGCATTTCCAGAAAAGCCTCTTAATTTTATGCTTTCTTATCCAAGTCATGTACCATTTTTTTTTCTGAAACGGAATTAAAATATTCTTTAAAAAAAAAACCACTAAATCCAAGTTGTTATATCTTTTGACTCTGAGTGGATTGTGAATTTTTAAAAATGCTCTAAAGGACATTATTGAAACAGTCCGGATATGTCTTGTTCTCAGGAGAAATGTGCTAAAGTATTTAGGAATGAGAGATCTACAACTCGCTTTTTTTTTTGTTTGTTTGTTTTGAGACAGAGTCTCACTCTACTGCCCAGGTTGTAGCGCAGTGGTGCAATCTTGGCTCACTGTAACCTCCGCCTCCCAGGTTCAAGTGATTCTCCTGCCTCAGCCTCCTGAGTAGCTAGGATTACAGGCAAGTACCACCATATCCGGCTAATTTTTGTATTTTTAGTAGAGACAAGGTTTTGCCATGTTGGCCAAGCTGGTCTCAAACGCCTAACCTCAGGTAATCCACCCGCCTCAGCCTCCCAAAGTGCGGGGATTACAGGTGTGAGCTACCGTGCCCAGCCTACACCTACTTTAAATGAGTTATTAGGGAAATATATACATAGACAGAGACAGAGAGAGAGAACATACACACACAAATGTGGCAAAATGCTAATAATTGGTGAATCTAGAAAAAAGCTATATAGGTGCTCACTGTATTATTCTTAGAGCTTTTTTTTGTAGGTTTGACATTTTTCAAAATAAAAATTTGTGGGGGAAAAAAGCCCTACAAGGTCTCCCATTCTAGAAAGAGGGGTGTGTGTGTGTATGTGTGTGTGTGTGTGTGTGTGTGTGTGTGTGTGTGTGTGTTTAAAAAGAAACATTAGTGAGCCGGGCGCGGTGGCTCAAGCCTGTAATCCCAGCACTTTGGGAGGCCAAGGCGGGTGGATCACGAGGTCAAGAGATCGAGACCATCCTGGTCAACATGGTGAAACCCCATCTCTACTAAAAATACAAAAAATCAGCTGGGCATGGTGGCACGTGCCTGTAATCCCAGCTACTCAGGAGGCTGAGGCAGGAGAATTGCCTGAACCTAGGAGGCGGAGGTTGCGGTGAGCCGAGATCGCGCCATTGCACTCCAGCCTGGGTAACAAGAGCGAAACTCCGTCACAAAAAAAAAAAAGAAACGTTAGTTCTTCAAATCAGCTAATACTATCAGTGACGTATATGTTTCAAGTACCAAGTAAAAATGGAAAAAATATTCAGCTTGTGGAGCTGTGCCCTGAACCACTTCAGCTTTCATAAAATGGCAGACCAAAGAATGGCTAGTTTCAGACTAAGACCAACCCTGGAAGGAAAAGTCCATGGCCTGGACAGATAGGCAGCTCTCTCTTCTCACAAAATCAGGCTTCCTATCACCAGTGACCTTCCTAGAGAGACCTAAAGGGCACTGCTGCCCAAGTTTAGACTTTCTTTGCAACAGGCAGTCTGTTCTAAACAATGTCTGACCTTGGCTTTCAGGTCAGAGGACTTACCTGGTTTGCCTCAGGACACTTTTTTTGGACTCAATTCAAGAATACCAAAAAGATTTAAGAAGTGCCAGGTATGATGCTAAGTACTGATGTTACAAAAATGAATAAGCCAAAGAAGAACTCTGACCCAGAAAAAGTCAGACTGTAAATAAATAACCAACAAGCAACATTAAAAGTGGTACGTTGGGGTTATGTCCTGCAGGACACTGGCAAGAAAAAAAGGGAGCAGATTTGCCCAAACATCAGGGAAAACCATAGAGCAAAGGCCATATCTGAGCCAGAGGCTGATTACTTTTCCATAAAGTAAGTGCATTCCAAGTTCAGTAAGGTACACAGGCCAAGGCATGGAAAGGCCAAAGGGTCAGCTCACTTGGAGAACAGTGAGCACAGTTCATTAGTTAGAGGATTGAGAGTGGTGGGTGGGAAGAGTTGAAGCAGCTCATCAATCCCTGTCTGTAGCTAGAGAACACTGTAGGTTTCTGAACTGGATCTCTTATTCATTTTCCTCTTGAATGAGGATACCTTATTTCCAATATTCACTCAACACTTACTATGTAATCTACACACTGCAGGGGAATACTATCATGAGCAAATTCTTTTTCTTAAGGAATTTATGTACTAGCACTAGCAGATCATAAGGAATAAATACACAGAGAACTCTAACTTAGGAACAATGCATTAAGGATCCTAAGAAGTATTTTTGTAAACATATTTTTTTTTTTTTTTTTGAGACGGAGTTTCGCTCGTTACCCAGGCTGGAGTGCAATGGCGCGATCTCGGCTCACCACAACCTCCGCCTCCTGGGTTCAGGCAATTCTCCTGCCTCAGCCTCCTGAGTAGCTGGGATTACAGGCACGTGCCACCATGCCCAGCTAATTTTTTGTATTGTTAGTAGAGACGGGGTTTCACCATGTTGACCAGGATGGTCTTGGTCTCTTGACCTTGTGATCCACCTGCCTCGGCCTCCCAAAGTGCTGGGATTACAGGCTTGAGCCACCGCACCCAGCCGTTTGTAAACATATTTTTAAAAGCTGGACAGCACAGAAAGAAGTAAGATCACTTTCAGAGAAGACATGAATAGAGAAATCAGTAAAGGCTTTCTGCAGGTGGCAGCACAGGGGCCAGACCTCGATGGTATGACATAGGTGAAAACACTGAAGACACGGAGGAAACATTCCAAGGGAAACAACTAACCTAAGTTAAAATGTAGAGGTTGGCCAGGTGCAGTGGCTCACGCCTGTAATCCCAGCACTTGAGAGGCTGAGGTTGGTGGATCACAAGGTCAGGAGTTTGAGACCAGCCTGGCTAACATGGTGAAACCCCATATCTACTAAAAATACAAAAATCAGCCAGGCATGGTGGTGGGTGTCTATAATCCCAGATACTCGGGAAGCTGAGGCAGGAGAATCACTTGAATCCAGGAGGCAGAGGTTGCAGTGAGCTGAGACAATGCTACTGTACTCCAGCCTGGGTGACAGAGTGAGACTCTGTCTCAAAAACAAATGTAGAGGTAGCCCTGCATGTAGATACAGCCTAAGTGCATGGATTCCTAAACATTCCCCTTAGATTCAGAACTAAACATGTTTCTTTAACAATATTTACTGTGTGGGACTAAGACTTGATTCTAGACTGTTTTGTATTTTCTATGACACTAGTAACTTTTTTGTGGGTTTATTGCTTGGCGGCAGGGATGGGAATAGTTGGGAATGGGCAAAAAAAAAAGCTAGCAGAGTAGAACTACCTCAGAGTTGAAAACTGGTAATCTTCCTGTGTTCTTAGTGAAGTCTTGCAGTCCAGGGCAGTGACCTGGGTTATTTGGACTTAAAATCTGTTTACGTAATCACACATTCTCTATATAAAGAGGTCCTTGTGAAGTCTGCCAATCTGTCAGTTCTAGTCACAGTCAGTTCAAACAAGCACCTGACTAAGGAAACAGAGACCAGTCTGGGGGTGTGGGACAGAACTGGTCAAACTAGTTGGGTAATTTTATTATTATTGAGCATGACATTTCCATCACAGGCAGGGATACTAAGATTATTTAACACCTAATAAGCCTAAGTATTGTGTTGGTGCTTATACACACTGGCCTCACATAATCCTCTAAACAACCCAACAAGTAGTATTAACTCAGATAAGTAAACTGAGGCTTAAAGGTTAGATTACTTGCTCAGTGTCATATAGCTAGTCAATGATGGTGCCCACACCTGAGTCCACAAACCTAGCTTTTGCCCCACTGTTTGTTGCTCTCCCTCAGTCAGCAAACAACTGGGGAACTCTTGTTTCAATCCAGGTGATGCTCTCCTATAGACAAATGAAGCTTTAGTCTGGCCTTGTGCACATACTGCCTGAGCTTTGATAATCTAATTTTTTCTCCTCCCTAGACTTTAACATTCCTCTGATCAGTTCTTAATGATGTTTCCAGTGAGTTTTTTCCGTGCCACCCTTCTCAAGAATAAAGTGGATCCACTGTCTTTTCAAAAACAACCCAGGTCTCTGGCCTCAGTTTTCAAAAAATTTCACGAGACCCTCCCAGCTGGCTTCTCATTCCTAACTCTTCAATTAACATATCCTGTCTTGGTCTCACCTGCTCATAGCCTTAGCCCTATCTAACTACTGTCAGCAAGTCCCAGCCCAAGCTATATCCTCTTCTAAAACATCCTCTCTGCCTCAGTCTGCCAGATTTGCACCTTCCATTTCAGTTCCTAACGTCTATTTTTTCCTCAAAAAGTTCTCATCAGGAGGAGTTACGGCTTCTCTGAACTAAACAAGCAACTCCCCCATCCCGTCACCTCTGCCTGGGCATAGCACAGTGTGTACGGATGTGACCTTGAACAAGATGTGTCTGCTA